CGCAGTGGATGGTGCTGAGACCCGCGAGAAGCCTGCCTAGCTGAGCCCCGGACTTCTGTTCTTTTTTCTTCTGAAGGACGAGACCCCTGACTGGCCTGATTGGCCTAACTGGGCAAAGGGGGGAAGGCAGGATGGTGTGTGTGCTGGTGATTGTTTTGAAGGGATTTTGAGGTTTGAGGGTGACATTTAGCCATTAATCAAACCTGTATAACTTTTGAATAAATAGTTCCTTTTCCTTTTCACCAAACTGCCATTCAGGGCCATAATTCCAAGGGCGACAGGCAAAGGACCCACAACTGAGGGCTCCCCGGAGAAGGAGGGCGAAGGAGGGCGGCGTTGTTTTGGTAATAGCATCTGGGCACTGCCCCCCGCCCCCCGCCCCCCGCGGGTCCTTTTGTTCGGTAAGAAATGGACCACCATATATAGTAAGCGATGAGTGGTAAAGATACGAAAGGACCAGAAATAGCACAGAGGAAAGAAAGTCTTCCTGGAGAAGGTGGTTTGGGGGTTGAGTTTTAAGGTACAAACAGGTGTTTAATGGGAACTCAAGAAGAGAGTCTCACACATGTAAAAGGGGTGAAGCCATCAGGCACGGCACACCCTCAGGTTGCTGCGAGCAGTTTCTGCCCTATCGAAGCATAGAATGAAGGGCAGGTAGACACCAGAGAGGCAGCGAAATAAGTTCACAGCGGCCAGTCATGATGGGTCTTATACCCCAAACTAAAAGGCTGGGATTTTACCCTGAAGACATTGGGGCAAGCGGCATGGTTCTAAGTCCTGAAAATAACATGGTTTGATTTGCTTTTGAGAAAACTCACTCAGCCTCAATGGGAGGGTTGGAGGGTGGATGGGGAAAAGCCAGCCAAGAGGCAAAAAGGGGCCTTTAAGAAGATAAACGCGAGACTCAGAGGCCGGTGAGGTTGGAGAGGAAGGAATCGATGGGAGGTAACACCAAAAGGCCTTCGTGACTCGCTGGACGTGGGCTGGGAGGGGGAGTGCGGGCCAGGACGCTGGTACCACCAGCTGTGGCAGGGCCTTTAGGCAAGAGGAGAGGGGCGGGAGGATGACGAGTTCGAGAATGGACTTATTGAGGTCACAGCACCCGGGGCTGGGGCTCGGCAGGCAGAACAGGGTTCCAGAGACAGGCTCCTTCCTGTTCCCATAAGGAAATGTCTGGGAGGACTCACTCCTGGGCAGGGCGGGAGTATGAGACAACCAAGCTGAGGGGGAGGCTGTGTGGAGGGAGACTAACATTCCAAGTGTTAGCTGTGGAAACAAGCCGGCTCCTACGACAAAACACGGATTGCATCCCCGGTTTGAAGGCAGCATGGCCCTGGGGACCAGCAAGGCCAAGGCCGCACCCCAATTTCCCACTTATTTACTCCCTGTGCTCCTCCTTGGGAAGCAGCACGACCATACACCCCAAAGCCCAAGCCAAACCCTCCCGCCTCCTCTTCATGCCTCCCTTTCCCTCTGCTCTGCATCTTACCCAATTGTCCCCAACCACCACCCTGTCTCAAATGGCCTCGCCACTCTTGAGCCCGCGCCTGCTTTATCATCTCTAAATATATACTATCTATTTACTTTATACTACTGAAAATAATATGACACATCTGCCAACCTGTTTCCTGTCCAGGCCCCCTCTGGGATGAGCTCCAGGAGGGCGGGGGCTTTGTCCTGTTCTTCTCGCCATCCCTACTCCCTAGAACAATGATCGGCACACGGCTGTTAAATGAAGTTACTGCCACCACATCGACTCAAGCGCTTACACAGCTCCCGAAGCCTCATGGACTTGGCCGCGCCCCATCCTGCCCCATCTTCAAAATGAGTGATCATGAAACAATAAGTGTACATAGTTCACAAGGTTAAGTAAGTCAAGTAATTCACAAAAAGTACTTAGCAGAGTGCCAAGGACAAGGTAAGCATTCCCTGGCTTTGTTGACTGAAACTTTAGCCAAAAACTGAAGCAGGGTGACCTGTCAGTTTTAGCTACACTGGGGAAAGCTTAAAGGAAAACAGAGTGGGACACATCTCATACTGCTTCGGAAAAAGAGAATCTCAGAAAACAGAGATGGAAGAAACTTCAGACAATCATTTCATTTTACAGATAGGTGACTTGAAGCCCAAAGAGGAGAAAGGATTTTCCTGGGGTCACAAAGAAATTCTGTGCCTGATCTAAGCCTAGAATTCTCACTATGTGAAGTTCACTGTTTTTCTGGCACATACCATCAAAGGTGCAAATTTAACTTTTAAGCAACATTAAGCTAAGTTATCTGCATGTACGCTCATCATTGTGGTCACTGAAACTAACAAGACCCTATGTCCAAAACTGACCCGAATGCCCACGGGGTCTCATTTCCAGGTCTCCTTCCTTTTGGACCATGGCCAACCCGCATGTGGCACTTCCCTCTGACTTCCAAGCTTGATACTATCAAAAAGAGGCAGAAGAACAACCAAAGGATGTGTGTCGACAGAGAACAGGGTGTGCACCCAAGACTTCAAGAATCAGTAGGTGAATCATGTGGGATAGTGAACATTCTATGAAGCCATATCAGAAATCATGACTCTCACCCAATAAAACCAGGAAAACAAGGCCGTTTGAAAACGTGGGGTTCTATGTGGAATGAAGTAACAAGAGCAAGAAGCAGGTTAAGTCTACCACTCAGGAATCTCAGTTATCTGGTCACATTATCTGGGGGCTCTGAAAGATGTTTCTATAAAAAGAAAAACTAAATAAGAAAACATTTCCAAACAACAAATTTGGGATCAAAATAACAAAAGGTAAAGAGGCACGAAGCAGCAACCTGGAATATAATGTTAAATACTTACCTTGGGCAGTCTAGATACTTAACCTTTCTTTCTTATCTTTAAGATAAGGATAACAATGACAATACAATAATGAATATAGATATCACTTACTTATCAATATCTATCTGCCAGGCGATGCATTGAGCACTTCAGATATGGCTTCTTTCATCTAATCCCCAACTCAATCACCTAAAATGTGGTTGGCGCCATGATTTCCAATAAGAACCCGGAGAGATGAACTAGTTTGCCCAAATTTATTACCAAGTCGTAGAACCAAAATGTGAATTCAAGTTTGAGTTCTTGATCATCGTTACTTCAAAGGCTGGTGGTGAGGATTGGGTTTAAAATTTAAAGAAGGGAAAACACCTTGCAAAGCGCCAGCTCTTAGATCGTGCCCCCTCCTTGGTAGTTTGTGTCCCCTCCTTCCGTCCTTATTCACAACCCTCGGCATATCCTGTGCGAGGAAGGGGCAATGAGGCTCAATCCTCCGTTGCCAGTTCTCAGACCTTTTGTCACAAAAGTCACCGAACTGCTGGTTAGCTCACCGGGAGACAGTTGTGGAGGGGAGGCCAGGAGAAGATCCCCAAAGTTGTTCCTTCCCCTTCCAGCTACAGGACTCAATCCAGGTGGCAGAGGGAAAGGGGAGCCGGGGCTTGGCTGTTGATAGAGCGCTGAAATGTTGGAAAAATTTTAGTTTCAGGTAATAGCTAAGCAGCTTAGTAATCGGTGTATGTAAATAGCTACTATTTGAGGAACTGAAGGTAGGGCCCACCCTGACCCAGGAGACCAGAGCAGCCCCACCTTTGTGCCTCAGGGGGGACGGCAGGCAGCGAAGAAGGCGTTTGAGCCCTTGTGCCCCAGGGTGAGGCGCCCTCCTCCCAGGGCGCGGGCGAAAGAATGCAGCACTTCTATCCGACTGCCTTTTCCTCTGAATGCCAATCCCCTTACCTACACTGTTTTCCTTATAAAAAGGATCGGTTGAAAATGGGATTTAAGATGGTCTGTTAGGGGCCTGTCGGGGTACGATAGCGTTACGAACCCGCCGCAGTCTTCTCAGGTCGCCGCCTTCTGCATAAAGCGCCCAGAAAGGTCAATCCCCGTCTCTGCTTATGGGGTCTGGCAGCACCAATGCCAGCTTTTCTGATTTCACTATGAGAACTAGAATACCTGATTTCCTCCTCTGGGAACCCATTTCCCCTTTGGGAGGAAGGAACTGGGCTGCAGGGCCCCAGGAGGGGACCGTGGAATGGTGACAAAGAACATGGGCTCAAGTGATTTCGTTTTTCACATCCTGCCCCATCTTCAAAATGTGTGATCATAAAACAAGTGTCCATAGTTCACAAGGTTGCTTAAGTAAATCAAGTAATTCACAAAAAGTGCTTAGCAGAGTGCCTTGGACATGGTGAGCATTCCCTACGTGTTACCTATTACTACTATTGCCATTATTACTATCAGCACCATTACTCCAGCTCCAGTATTTGAGGTGTCTCTATTAAGCCCTCGGATTCCTTTGTGAATGGTATATACAGGCGTTCAACGGTCTAAATTAAAGAGTGGCTCTACAGCCCCGATTTTAGCGCTTTCCACGGCAGAGTGTCCAGATTTCCTGCCTCCAAGGAAAGTCTACGACTTCCAGAACAGCCATGACAGTGCCCCCAAAGTTCCCTTCCCCTTCTCTTCAGGCGGTGGGGCGAAGCAAGAGACTCCGACTTCCGCAGCCCGCCCATATCAGTCACCATTGGTTGCCTCGTCACTGGCGTGATTAAGGCCCCGCCCCCTTCTCTCTGGGACCACTCTGAGACCATCTTCCGAATCCGAGGGGCCTCGGAGGAGCGGCCGCAATGCATCCTGGGCTTTGTAGTCCATCCACACAACTGCCGCTAGAGAACAGGGTTTCAAGACCCGAAGAACTACAATCCCCAGCAGCCAGGCTGAGAGCTGGGAGAAAGGGGGGCTCGCATCACGTGGGCGCTTGTCCTGGGCGGGCTATTTCTCAGTGAGGCGGCGGCAACTGGGGGACCCGGGCCTTTTGTTTGGAGCAGCTGCGGGGGGGGGGTGCCCCCCCGGGAGAGGCGAGGCCGGCGGCCTTCCCCAGCTCGCTGGGTCCTGGCCGCCCCTCTCGGGGTTGGGGGACCAACCCCTGGGCCGGCCTCGCCTCGGGCGCCGTCCCGCCCTAGGCCCGCCCTGCCCGCCCTGCCCGCCCCGCCCGGCTAGCTTAAGGGGTGGAACCGGCTGGGCCTTCTCTCAGGGCCTAGCCACCTCCGGAGTCCCTGCCACCGTTCTCCGAGCACCGAACTGCAGGCTCCCCTGAGCCCCTCAGACCGTCGCCATGAAGATCAAGGATGCCAAGAAACCCTGTAAGATGGGGGTTTGGGCTCACTGGGTTGGGAGAGCACTTTGGGCACCGTCTGGAAGCCCCCTGGCCAAGAGGCCTGGTCCCAGCCCGTGGCTCACCGCTGGTGCCCTGCATGGGTTGGGATGGAGGGACCTTTTCAGCGCAGGGCTTGGAGGCACCCGGCCCATCCCCCTATACTTGCATGCAAACGCCTTCCACCCCCTAGCTCTTTTCTCCCTCTTCCTTCTCGAGATCTGGGAGGTGCAACAGAGAATTTTTAACTCAGCTCCCAGTGCCCTCCCCCTGCTTCCTCTGTATTCTTGCTGAAAATGGGTGGTCATGGCTGTCAAATTGTGCTGGGGTAGTTACTACCCATTTTTACTGATTGCTGGGCTCCCTGCTTGTGTCCTTGAAATCCCAGTGGGTTCCTGGGAGTTGTCGCTGTTGTTACAATTAGAGCCTTTAAACGCAGTGCTTGTAACCTGCTAGTGACTTATTTTTGTTTAAAATAAAAACTAGTTTGTGTTTAAAAAACAAAAACCTAAAAATCGCAGGTATTTCTGCCCCTCGAAGCTAACCACTATTATTGATTTACTATTAACCACTACTAATATTTTGATGAATATTCAGATTTGTTTGCAAAACATTCTCTCGATGAGCAGATAAACTTTTATTTGCTTTCTTTTATTTTTAGCTTTTTAAAAACCTTCTACTTCTGTAAATGGCTTATTTAATCACTCAGCCATTGTGATTGTCATACTTTAAGACTACTTTTCCAGAGCACCTAAGAGTGTGGAGTGCATGCTTATATCTTAGAATTGTGTATATATTCTGCAGTTTTAGAGTGTCTCGTGTGATCCAGCAGTTGTAAGACATCTGATATAAAAGGGAGCACTGGCTTTTTCCCGCCCACCAGGTTTCTTGTTAACCCCAAAGGAGAGGCCCCCTGACAACAGCTAAGTGTTATTTAAATGTCAAATAATTCGGTCTTAATTTTATAGGTGAGGAAATTGAACTTACTGAGCCCAGAATAACTTTTACAGCGCAGAGCCAACCAGCTCTGCTACTAAGCAGGCTCAGGGCCTCAGGTCCACTGACTGACTCATGGTCCAGCGTTTGTTCTTCTGCACCCATAGGGCACAGTCTGTATACTTAGAGAAACGGCCCTTTCTGCTCTAGTAGTTATATTTGCCAATTAAAAAAATAACAATATAATAAAAAATACTGTATTATTTTTAAAAAAACTAATGATAATTTCTGGTGCTACAGAGTTCTTGTTCAAGGAGTCTATAAAATAATGACGTGAAGGCTTAAGTGACAAAGTAATAGAGAAACACTTCTAATTTACATTTGCGGAATTAAACTTATCTTGAACAGATGCAGTATGTAAAACTCTTGGACATCTTCCCTCAACACATATATTTTGTCTGCTCCTCTTAGAACTTCCTCCCCCCCCCCCCCATTTTTTAATTGTGCTTTTTTCCCATTACCGTTTACCCCCCTCATAGCCTCTTCCACCTCGGCCCCTGCCCTGGAACCGCCACACTGCTGTCCGTGTCCATGACTCCTTTTCCCTCAGTCCCTCCACCCCCGACCCTCCCGAGCTGTCAGCCCGATCTCTGAGTCGGTCTCTGTTTTGCTTGTTAGTTGAATTTGTTCCTTAGACTGCACATGTCAGTGGACTGTGGTGTTTGTCTTTGCCTGCCTGGCTTATTTCACTTAGCATAATGTCCTCCAGGTCCATCCCTGCTGTCGCAAAGGGTCTGACAAGCTCAGATTCTGACTCTTAAGGTATTTTTTTCTTTTTGCCATGGTAATGATTTGGTTATTTAGATTTGGGAAAATTTATAATCAGATATGAATATCACCTCTGTCAAAGGTGTTTTCAGCAAAGATGATAATTAGAAGTTTATAAAATAAACTTTAAATTGAGAAATAAAAGAACACCTATTGATAAAATCATGTTAGCTATTTACTACATTGTGGTACATTGTGAGACCATTCATGTTAAAATAGGGTCATGCTGGAAAAGTAGTCAGTTAATTTGATTTAGAAGTCTATAAACATTTTCAGTTTCTTATATATAAAAGGTGACTTTAAAAAAATAAATGAGAGGTAACTTTACTGCCTACTCAGTTCTTTATGTTAAAAATAAAGAACAACTTTTTGTGTGGGGGGGGGGAGAAAATATGATCTGTCCTGGAAATATGTATAACTGGAAAGTGTTACTTCCAGTTTTTTAAATCATTCAGGTTAGATAAATATATACTTGTTTTTGAGTACTTGTATAGGGTTTTTGGTTTGTTTTTGGTTTTTTTCCCCTCAGATTTTATTTTGAGAGAGAGAGGAAGGGAGGGAGAAAGAGGGAGAGAAACATCAGTGTGTGGTTGCCCCTCATGCATCCCCTACTGGGGACCTGGCCTGCAACCCAGGCATGTGCCCTGACTGGGAATTGAACCGGCGACCTTGTGGTTTGCAGGCCCACGCTCAATCCATTTAGCTGCGCCAGCCAGGGCGGCTTTTTAAATTATAAATGTGGTGAGCACTTGGTATGTGTAAGGCACTACCTTTATGCATCCACATGCAATGCATCATTTATCCCTTACGGCAGCACCAGTACTGAAAGCTCTTATCTCATACCCGTTAAATAAGAGGCTTTGGCTTCGCACACTTTCTTACTTATTCACCTAAGTGTTAGAAGACATTTGATTTTAGATACATCTCTAATATGTTACCAGATTATAAACCAAATGCATGTGTTTAACTAGAAAATAAGAAAAGGAATTGGTTTCATCCTCTCGATTATATAACAAAAGGATTAGCATTTGAAATTATATGTGAATTTAATTCCCAGAGAAGGATGAAGTCAAACTTTAACCTAATGAGAAATTTTGGTAGTTAAAATGTGAGAACAAAAGTAATGGCAATGTTTGTTTTGCCTTTACTTATGTTTTTCACACTGCTTAAATATTAGAAGTTAAAAATCTGAGTAATCATGCGTTCCTCTGTACCTCTACTGACGTGATTTATTAAGATAATAGGGTTTTCAGCCTTTGTTTTGTTTATCTACATGGCATGTGAGGTGATTAACAAAGTGGTAGTAAAATTCATATATTTTTAAAAATTTGCTGTGACATAGGTTTTGGAGTCTGTGCTTTGCTAATTGAAGTAGTAAGTCACCTGAAGTTTTTGACAGAACCAGAGAGAATTATACAGCATTTATTTGTAGTTTCCTTCTGTACAATTAGATTGGCCTTGTAAATTGAGTCACTACTTAAGAATTATCACTTCCAGAAAACATAGGTAGGTACTAAATTTATGGGCCTTGGTCTCAGAGGGGTTTTGTGAACTTGACCCCAAAGGCAAGAGAAGTAAAAGCAAAAATAAATGAATCATTCTACACCAAACTAAAAAGCTTCTGCATAGTGAAGGAATCCATCAATAAAACAAAAAGGCAGACAACTGAATAGGAGAAGACATTTGCAAACCATATCTCCAGTAAGGGGCTAATATCCAAAATATATAAGAATTCATGTAACTCAACAAAAACAAAAAAATACAATTTAAAAAATGGGCAGACGACCTGAACAGACACTTTTCCAACAGCTCTCTCAAAAGGTGCTCAATGTAACGCGCTATCAGGGAAATGCAAATCAAAACTACCTTGAGATACCACCTCCCACCTGTTAGAATAACTATTATCAATAAGACAAGAAATAACAAGCGTTGGGAAAGTGGAGAAAAGAGAACCCTTGTACATTGCTAGTGGGAATGTAAATTGGTATATCCACTCTGAGAAAAAGTATGGAGTTTCCTTAAGAAATTAAGAATAGAGCTATCATATGACCCAGCAATGCCTCTTCTGGGCATCTACCAGAATAACTTGAAAACACTTATTCATAAAGATGTATGTACTCCTATGTTCATTGCAGCATTATTCAAAATAGTTGGGACATGTAAACAACCTAGTGTCCTTTGACACATGATTAGATCAAGAAAATGTGTATGTATACAATGGAATGCTACTCAGCAATAAAAAATGATGGGATATTGCTATTTGTGATAACATGGATGGATCTTGAGAGTATCCTGCTAAGTAGAATAAGTCAGACAGAAAAGGACCAGAGCCAAATGATTTCATTCGTATGTGGGATATAAAACAGAAAGCAAAAGTACAAACTCATAGACACAGACAACAGCATGGTGGTTACCAGGGGGGAAAGATCTACAGGAAAGATCTGCACTGTGTCACAGATCTACACACCGGAAACAAGTATTATCACTTCCATTAGATAGTAAAGTACAGTCGGATGTGGCAGTTTCTAATAACCTATAACTGATTTACCCAAGGGGGGAAATTTCCTTAGTCTGTTTCAAAACACCAGTATTTTTATTTGGAATGATGATTGGGAGCAGTAAAATTTCTTTTATCTAAGAACTTGAAGCATGTCTGAAATTTACTAGTGCACATACCCATTTTAGAATTTTGTTCTAAAATAATGCAGGTGTTTTGAACATTTCTGATATTTGGTTTCTCTTTATGCTAAAGAAGAATTAAATTCTAATTTGTCATAGGATCTCTCTCGGCTGAAATCTGCATTGGGCCAATGGCAGTTAAAATAATCTCTTTAATGATTCTCCCTACCCCTTTACCAATACTTAGCAAGATACCAAACTTTTATAACACAGCTTTTTTATTTTTTTAAGATTTTATTTATTTACTTTTAGAGAGAGAGGAAGGGAGGGAGAGAAACATAAATGTGTGAGAGACACACATGGATCAGTTGTCTCTTGCTTGCCGGTAACTGGGGACCTGGCCTACAACCCAGGCATGTGCCTCGCCTGGGAACTGAACTGGTAACCTCTTGGTTCATAGGTTGGTGCTTAGTCCACTGAGCCACACCAGCTAGGACTAACACAGCCTTTTTGAAGTTAACAGTCTAGCCCTTGTCACTAGATATCTAAAGCTGACTAATCATTTAAAAAGATGATTAGACATGTGGGTTTCTTCTTTTGCATACTTTATTTCTTTATTATATGGGTTTCGTTATTTTGCAAATAAATTATTTATTTGATAAGGAGCATAATTTTTTTGGTGGTACTCTATGCTTATGGTAGTTCCAGATAGTTTTGTAACTTACAGGGAAATTCACTTTGGCAGTGGAGTTTTATTCTCAAGGATAAGCAATGCTTAGGTTATATGCAGTAATTAAGCTCCTTACGCACCGGTGATCAACTTTTAGCCTGTCCCATGCTAGAAACAACAAAGCTAGTTATTTGATTTCTTAGGAACATATATTTCTTACTGTATGGAACTACTGATGGACCTGTGACTGTACTTAATAATCCTATATTTTCATACATTGACCCTAGATAAATAACGTGAGCCCTGGCCGGTGTGGCTCAGTTGGTTGGAACATCCTGTAAACTGAAAGGTCATGGGTTTGATTCCCAAGCAGGGCTCATATCTAGGTTTGGGTTCATCTCTGGTTGGTACCCAGACAACAGGGAACCGATAGATGTTTTTCTCTCATGTCAGTGTTTCTCTCCCTCTCCCTCCCTTCCCCTCTCTCTAAAACCAATAAGCATATCCTTGGATGAGATTAAAATAATAATTTTTGAGCTCCATGCCCCCCCCCCTCATTTTGGTAAGGGACAAAAATAACAGGTTTATTTTAACACACTGGAAAATGTAAAAGTTGGTAATTAGCCCCATTGCTAAATGATAGGAGTGATCATAATTAAGAATTTGTGTCTTCTATATTCTTTTTGCCTCCCCAATACTATCTTTTTATTTTTTGAGAGAGGGAGACGGGGGGGAGAGAGAGAGAGAGAAACAATGATTTGTTATTCTACTCATTCATGCATTCATGGGTGGATGTTTGTGTGTGCCCTGACTGGGGATCGAACTTGCAACCTGGGCTTATCCGGACGACACTATAACCAACTGAGCCACCTGGCCAGGGTCCCCTATACTTTTTAATGGTGTTTGTTTCTCTGGCAGAAGGAAATGAATCCCAGAACTCTGCTGAGTTGAAAAGCCTCCCTATGCACAAGGTGGCTGGTAGCAATTTTGTTTTTAAACTGGAGCCGCTGGCAAGGCTGAGTTCTCTTTCAGCCCCTACTTTCCCGGTAGCAAGAAAATTTTCATAATTGATATTTGCTAGAAATAAAGGGACATGTAATGTTCTAGTTTTCATATTATGGTTACTAAGAAATTCGTAGTCTGCAATATAGCATCTCTGGTTAGCCTCAGTCTAAGGCCGGACCGCACCAGAAGAACAGACATGGCTAATGAGCAGATGGGAGATCAGTCTCAGGCTTTTGCACTGTTGATCTAAAACACCCACCTCTGTGGACAGTAACCCTTAAGGAAATTGTATTATTTTTCCAATTCAATTTAGCTATTTCAGCTCTTTCTTTAGTCCAGTACACAAACAAGTGGGTCTCACAAAGGTTTAAAATTGAACAGTACATTCTCTTCTCTTTCATGAGTTCCTGGTTGTTGATTGTGGTTTGTTTGGGTTTTTTTTTGTGCCTTACACACTATATACATTTCATAATATTCTTCAGAATTTAAGGCAATTTAAAACAAATAAGAGCCGTCGCTGGTGTGGCTCCGTGTATTGCGTGCCAGCCTGCAAACCAAAGGGTTGCCAGTTTTGATTCCCAGTCAGGGAAGATACCTACCTGCCCAGGTCCCCAGTCAGGGGCGCACAAGAGGCAACCACAGAGTTCTGTTTCCCTCCCACTCTTTCTCTTTCCGTTCCTCTCTCTAAAAATAAATAAATAAAACTCTTAAAAAAATAAATAAAACAAATAAGAGATGTAAAATACTATAATATAAATAGTTTTGTCTACAAGTGTTTTTTACCTTTTGTGTAATGTTTTTGAGGTAGGACAGGTTGGTTATTTCACTGAAACAATGGAAGGTTTTTTTTGTTGTTGTTTTTTATTTTTATCATTTAGATGATAATTATACCCAAACAGCCATTTTAATCTCTCTGGGAAAGAGTCAAAAGGAACATTTTCCTGCAGTCCAGAATTTAGAAACAGGATTCCGTTCTGTGAGCCTTTCTATTGCCCGCTCCAGTGCTAATGTGATTTGGAATTGGCTGTTGGTGTTACCTTTGGGGTCAAAAACCTTGGTGCCCATGCCTAGCTTTGGAAAAGTAGATTTTTTTTTTTCATTCTCTCATATTTTATCTATAAACCAAATATTTCTTAGGCAGCAGAGTTCCTTGAAACTTAATAATTCATGGTTTAGTGTAAGAATTAAAAGTTCTTCACGTAAGTTGTGCTGGAACTTTTGCTTTTTAGAATGATGGTATTCAGGTATTTATAACCCAGGAGCAGCGAGGTTTGACTGAAAATAAAAAGGACATGAACCTTGAACCTGATCATGCCTCAGCTTTGTAGTTTGCCCTCTGAGTAACACTTTTATTTGTATGTATAGTTCTACACGTATGTGTGTTTGACACTGACAAAGGCCCAGAAAGGAAAGCTGCAAATGTTAAATGATTTTTAATGTTATGAATTTTGGAAAATAAAGGTTTTTAGCTTAATATCACCTAGTAGGAATTTTTCTATCCCAAAATGTACTTTTTGTGGCAGTAGAGATTTCCATACCTTCTTCCCATGAAGTCTGTAATCACGCATTAATCAAATAAGAGAATTCGTTTGGTTATGTAATGTCAGAAGGATCCCCATTTTATCTAATGCCCACTGAAAAGTACCCTAATGGAATATCCATTCAGCAGACTTGGAAAATTCTGAAGGAATCTGGTTTATTGGACCAATGGAGCTATTCCATGTTGATTTCTTTAAATGTGTTTGTCCAGGCAGACACCTGCTGTGAATTTCCTCTCCATAACTGTTAGTATTGTGGCTTGCTACTACTGATTTCTTTGAACGATGGGGAGAAAGCGATATGTAACTTTCACATGAATCTTTTTAAAGCAGGAATTCTGCATTTCATGAATAAACAATGTAAAATGTGATATAGCACATTCCTTTTTACCAAAGGATATATTATTATATGGTTTCTGGTTTTTGTTGTTTTTTAATTGCAAATGACCTGTCATTTGTTTAAAAAATTCAGTGCTTAGCCCTGGCTGGTGTGGCTCGGTGAGTTGGGTGCCAGCCTGCGAAGTGAAAGGTTGCGGGTTCAGTTTCCGGTCAGGGCACATGCCAGGATTACAGACCGGGTCCCCAGTTGGGGCATGCGAGAAGCAATCGATTGATGTATCTCTCACACACTGATGTTTTTCTCCCTCTCTCTCTCTTTCTCTTTCTCTCTCTCTCAAAAAAAAAAAAAAAAAAATCAAATCTTTTTTTAAAAAAAGTCCATTTGTTCTTAAAAAATTTTTTTTAAATGTACTTAAGATAGCCTCCATTGCTAACCACCCGACAAAATTAAGAAAACTTAGTAAGTTTTTTCTGCATTTTAGTTGTTTATACAAATTTATAGTACCTGTTTAGGGTATTGATGTACTAGCTTCTCAAATTATGGTTTAAATTTATTTTACATTTTTTAAAAAAGTTTCTTTGTTAAATTTTCTTTTCTTTTTTTCTTTTCTTTTCTTTTTTTTTAATCCACAGCTTTCCCATGGTTTGGCATGGACATTGGGGGAACACTAGTAAAGCTCTCATATTTTGAGCCTATTGATATCACAGCAGAGGAAGAACAAGAAGAAGTTGAGAGCTTGAAAAGTATCCGGAAATATTTGACTTCTAATGTAGCATATGGATCCACTGGTATTCGGGACGTGCACCTTGAACTGAAGGATTTAACACTTTTTGGCCGAAGAGGGAACCTGCACTTTATCAGATTTCCAACCCAGGACCTGCCTACTTTTATTCAAATGGGACGAGATAAAAACTTCTCAACATTACACACGGTGCTATGTGCTACAGGAGGTGGTGCTTACAAGTTTGAAGAAGATTTTCGCACAGTAGGTATCTGTTAATCAAAGCCAAAAATTGATACCCATTCCCTTCAATTTTTAAAACATGAGCCTAGGTCTCTGTCCCGCATGTTTCTTAGATTAGTTCCTCCTGTGGATTCATGACTAGCTTTTTATTTGGGGCATTTAAATGCCTTTACAGGATAAGTAAAAATTGCCCAGTTTGGGGTGGTTGTATTTGCTCAAATCTGCTCACTTTAGGGACTGCAACAATCAAAGACTTCAGTGAATTTGGCAGTGTACAAAGCCAGATATAAATTGGGCTTTAATTACTTTCACTATTACTGTGTTATGTTTGCAGCTTTTTTAGTATTATCCATATAGTCATCTCTCCCAGGGCCGGCTTCTTCCCACATCCCAACTGGACCTGAGCTCTGCCTCCTGTCCTCTCCCCAACTCTCCCCTCCCACCCCCCGCCCCCCCATCCCTGGAAAAATTGTCTTCCACGAAACCTGTCCCTGCTGCCAAAAAGGTTGCGGATCACTGCCTTCGAGAAGGCAGGCACAGGATGATTCTTTGCTTTGCACAGCTGGCCCACCCACTGCAGATGTCTGGCACCCCAAGTCCCTGCCATTCAGTGCTAGTTTTGTCCACCTGCCCCATCTTTGTGAAAACCGAGTGTCCCAGCATACTTCCAGAAGGCCTCGAGAGGTAACACCACCGTCGCTGAGAGCAACTGCACTAGGTGCAGGCCCGAAGAGATTTTGACATGAAACAAAAGAAGTAAAACTGTGGGTGTCATAGATGATTTTAAAGTTTGTAAAGTACATGAAAATTTTACAGTACAACTGAATCACTATTTTGAATGCTGTTCTTTGTTCACTTTATAAAACTCTTTTTTGATACTGTTTTTACAGATTGGAAACCTCCACCTGCACAAACTGGATGAACTTGACTGTCTTGTAAAGGGCTTGCTGTATATAGATTCTGTCAGTTTCAATGGACAAGCAGAGTGCTACTATTTTGCTAATGCCTCAGAGCCTGAGCGATGCCAAAAGATGCCTTTTAACCTGGACGACCCCTATCCACTACTGGTGGTCAACATTGGCTCAGGAGTCAGTATTTTAGCAGTCCATTCCAAAGACAACTATAAACGCGTAACTGGGACAAGGTATGTAACCTTTTTCTTTTTGCAGCACTCATACTGTGTTATACACAGATGTTGTAAAATCAGTATTAATACTAGTTTCATTAGAAAAATGTCCCGTATTTGTGCAACAGCAAAAAATGTAGATGTGCAAATATAAGTTAAAGTATTGCAGATACGTTTTAAAGGCATGTGTGTATAATGACTCGAATTAAAATCATTACATACTTTTCTTTGGTTAGCACAAATTGGCATTAAAATTTTTGTAATGTTGGAGGAGGAGGGCAGGGAAAAGTGGTGGGGGGAAGGTGGAGACAAATGTGTTTGAAAAAATAATTAATTTAAAAAAAATTTTGTAATGTTAACAGTGAATTTTTGTCTGGAATGATTCCAGTGACTATTTTCCAAAGCATTTTTCGTCTTTGCTTATTTTTCATTTTTTAATTAGAGATATTTAAGCCTAAAGTTTGCCATATCCTGATTTCATGCAGAGTATTGGGCAACATTGTAATTAATTTAATTCTTATAGGATGAATGTAGCACGAGCTCCTCACTGGATAACATTAATGTTCCAAATATCTCTTAAAATTTCTGTTGTACCCGAAACATGAATGTGAAATGAGATTTTAAACTTTTCCTTGTGATTCTGATATGTACTTTATCAACTTTTAAGGAGGGTGGAGGCTATTGAGAATGACTTGGGAATACTTTTAAGATTGATTTGTGAGAGAACTTGTTTCAGTATCGAAACACTATTTAAATGGTACTTAAATTTAACAGAATTTAAGTATTTAAGCATGTAATATTTATATACTAAGTTTAACAAAATTAGTATTTTATTTTTGTGGTGACTGAAAAGCTGCCTCCCTCGTAACTGTGTGCCAAAGTCCTCCCTCATCTGCGGTATTGCTTTCTGTGGTTTCAGTTGCTGCAGTCCAAAAATATTAAATGGTAATGTCCAGAGATAAACAATTTATGAGTTTTAAATTGCACTGTTCTGAGTAGTGTGATGAAATCTCCACGCTGTCTTGCGCATGAATCGCCCCCTTTGTCCAGCCTCTCCGCGCTGTGTACCCCGCCCCCGCCCCCGGTCCCTGGGCGGCCATCTCAGCTATCGGGTCCACTGTTGCAGAGCTGCAGTGCTTGTATGCAAGGAACTCTTACTTAACTTAATAATGACCGTCCCAGAGCACAAGAGTAGTGATGCTGGCAGTTCAGAGGTGCCAAGAAGCCTTAAACTTGTTTAAGTGAAAGTTCTTGACTTAATAAGAAAAGAAAATAAATTGTATGCTAAAGGTAATGAATTTTCTAAGTGTGAAATTTTGAAGGAGGAAAAAGAAAATGCCTGCTAGTTTTGCTCTGACACCTCAAACTGTCAACATTACAGCCACAGCGAGCGAAGGTGCGTGCCTGTTAGTTTAGATGGAGAAGGCATCGCACTGCGGAGGCAGCCACGAGCAGTAGACGTGTTCTGACTCACGGCAGCGTTGTCCGGAGAGCACAGGCCCCACGGGAAGACTCCGCCCCCCGGGGGTCCCCGAAATGGTGACCACAGTCACATAACGCTGATTACAGTCTATTCAGTTATTGTCATATTGCATTATTATTAATCTCTTACTTTGCCTGATTTATAAAGTTTATCATAAGTATGTGTTACAGGAAAAAACTATATATAGGGTTCAATGCTACCTGCAGTTTAAGGAATCCACTGGGGGTCGTGGAACATATCCCACACAGACAGGAGGGGACTGTTGTATCACCTACTTAAATTAATTCTAAAAGACAGAAATTCAGCCTGTTCAGTAAATTCCAACAGTGATAGAAATCTGTTACGAAATTAGCTGAGGCTGGGGGGCACAGGCTTTAATTTTAGGGATTAGAAAGACATGGTTTTATTTTGTGAGCCTATCCGAAAGAAGAGTAGAACCAAGTAAATGTCTGTCATTAACATGGAGACCGGCCTGACACAAATTTCCTCCCTGTTTTTATTCCTAGGGCTAAATGATAATGTATCACACTGAACTGACTTCAGCCTTGTCAGGCCAAGTAATCAGGCCTTTCACAAAATCATTTTCTGGAAGTCATTTATAATTAGTTTTCTCCTTTTAATTCATATGGCATGCATTTTTAATGCTTCGTGTAAAGTATCAGATGAAGTTATTGGAAGATATAAAAGGCCTTCCTGTCCTCATGTTGTTTGCACCAAGTGATCTTTTTCTTTGGTCTGACAAGTATGGTTTTGCTAAGCATTTCTAACCTTTCCTCATTACGTTAATATTTCAGCATTTAGCATTAGCAATATGTTTATGTGTTTATTGAATAATTAAATGCTCTACCCTTTTACTTTGGAGAAGAAATACAGTGGGTAAATGCAGCTCATAGAGTTGGGGTTTTTTTTTGTTTTGTTTTTAGCCTCGGAGGGGGCACCTTTCTGGGCTTGTGCAGTTTATTGACTGGCTGCGAAAGCTTTGAAGAGGCTCTTGAAATGGCATCCAAGGGAGACAGCACCCAAGCCGACAAGCTGGTCCGTGATATTTATGGAGGAGATTATGAGAGATTTGGTCTGCCGGGTTGGGCTGTAGCATCTAGGTAAGTTTAACATTTATCTTGTGATTGAAGTTGCTTATTTATACCCAAAATACATTCATGTGAGGAACTCATACAACTTGCACTACAGAAAAACAATCCGATTACAGAACGGCTAGGGCCTGAACAGATTTCTGCGAAGAGGTCATACAGTTGGCCAGTAGACCTGAAAAGAGGCTCAGCATCACTGATCATCAGAGAGATGCAAATTAAAACCACAGTAAGATAGCACCTCACATCTGTCAGAGTGGCTACCATCAGCGAATCCACCAACAAGTGCTCTCAAGGCCGTGGAGAAAAGGGAGTCCTCCTGCACTGTTGGTGGGGGTGCAGACCGGTGCAGCCAATGAGAACGGTATGGAAATTCCTCAGAAGATTAAAAGTGGAACTGCCACATGCCCCAACAATCCCACTTTTGGGTATTTATCCAGAGAAATGCAAAACACTAGTTTGAAAAGACACATCACCTCTTTGTTCATTGTAGTGTTAATTACAGTAGTCAAGATACAGAAGCAACCCAGGCGTCCATCTGTAGATGACTGGATGCAGAAGTCATGGTACCTGTGTGCAGTGGAATATTACTCAGCCATTAAAAAAAATGAAATCTTTCCATTTGCAACAACATGGATGGACCTAGAGGGTATTATGCTAAATGAAATAAGTCAGACAGAAAGACAAATACCATGTGATTTCACATATGTGGAACCTAAAATACAAAACATGTATAGATAGAGAGGACTGTATTAAGATGTACAAATTTCCAGATATAGGAACAGTCACAGGGTAAAGTACAGGATGGGGAACATAGGCAATAAAAATGTAATAACTGTGTACCGTGTCAGATAGTACTAGACTTTATCAAAATGATCATTTCCTAAGTTATATAAATATCTAATCACTGTGTTGTACACCTGAAACTAATACAATATTGTATGTCAACTGTAATTGAAAATGTAAAAATAAACAAAGTTGGGTCTGGCAAGTTAGAGCATCATTCTGATACACTGAGTGTGCCAGTTTAATCCCCAGTCAGGGTACATATGAGAATCAACCAATGAATGCACAAATAAATCAGTATTTTCCCTGTCTGTCTGTCTCTCTCTCCCTTCCTCTAAAATCAATAAAGGAAATTTAAGAATAAGTAAAGTTGCTTATTTAGGTTTTAGAAAGCATTAAATATATCAGGAAATTGTAAGGGAGCTGCTTCTTATTCAGTGTAGGCTCAGAGTTAGAAGCCTTCCTGAGTGCAGCCTACGGGGACCCATTTTTATCCTGGAGTGTCCTTCCACTGCTGCTTTGTGCAAACACAAAATCATATCCTAGCCTCCCCTTACATAGAAGGTAACATTCATATGCCATTGAATAGCAAATATATATACTTTTTAAAAGGTTTTATTTATTTATATTTAGAGAGAGGGAGAAAGAAAGGGAGAGAAACATTTCTGTTGGTTGCATCTTGCATTCCCCCAGCTGGGGACCTGGCCTGCAACCCAGACCTGTGCCCTGACGGGGTTGAACCAATGACCCTTTGGTTCTCAGGCCGGCACTCAGCCCACTGAGCCACACTGGCCAGGGCCCCCTTTCCTCCCCTTATCTCTTTCCCTCCCGTCCCTTTCCTGTTTCCATTCCCTCCCTCCCTTTAGCTCTAGTTAACAGCTTCATGATATTTCATTGTTTGATGTTTGGATTGTTACCATTATTTTGCTATGTACATTTCATTTGGTCAGTGAATAACCGTGTGTATGTGTAGATTTATCTGTAGGATAAATTCCCAAAATGTATGAAATGTTGCTTTTTATCTGCAGATTTGATTTTGTTTACTTTTTCATTTCTCTGCAGTTTTGGTAACATGATTTATAAGGAGAAGAGAGAATCTGTTAGTAAAGAAGATCTAGCAAGAGCTACTTTAGTTACCATCACCAATAATATCGGTTCTGTGGCACGAATGTGTGCTGTTAATGAGGTAAAAATAATTTTAATTATATGAAAAATGTGAATTGGAGTTCTATGTACAAATAGCAGGGCATCTTCATGTTCTTTAAGGAGCCCTGTAAAATGGAGACCTAGTGTATTAGATCCCAAGACTCATTAAGTATGTGTGTTATGCACCCAATTGTTACACTGCCTTTAAAGAAAGTAGCAGGTAATTCAAATCGGAGATAGGACAAATTGATATTTACATTTCACCCTGGAAATACAGTCTTGTGCTTAATGATGGGTACGCTCTGAGAAACGTGCCATCCAGCGATTTCCTTGTTCTGTGAACATCAGAGTGCACCTGCGCATACCGAGATGGTGCGGCTGGCCCACCCTAGGCTGCACGGCCGAGCCTGTTGCTCGTGGGCTACAAACCTGTATAGCACAAAATAGCACGAGATTAAATGAAGCACAAGGGAAAGAGGGGTGCAGTCCTGGCCGTTGTGGCTCAGTTGGTTGAGCGTCACCCCCGCACCCCAAAACATTGCGGGTTCTATTACCAGTCAGGGCACATGCCTAGGTTGTGAGTTCAGTCCCGGTCGGGGTACGTATGAGAGTAACTGATCCATGTTTCTCACCTCAGCATTTCCCTCCCACCTCCCCCACTCTCAAATCAATAAACATGTCCTCAGGTGAGGATAAAAAATATAATTTAAAAAAAAAAGGGTGCAACCAAGAGACGCAGTGAATACGAGATGCATGGGGCCGACTATCGCAAACTTCTCTTTTTTGTAAGTAGAGAGAGTATGCTCTAGAATAACAACAAAAAGCATAGTGTAGTCAGTACATAAACCAGGTAACAGCCATTTTCATCGTCAAGTCCTGTGCTACATGGAATTGCGCCGAGCTTTCATGGGGCCGGCAGCGCGGCAGGCTTGTTCACTCCGGCATCGCTACAGGCACTGGAATGATGTCTGTGCTACAGCCTCACTGGGCAATAGGAATTTTCAGCTCCATATAATTTTATGAGACCTCCATCGTTATTTGTGGTCCAGAATGTCACTGACCAAAACGTTCATGCACCATGTGCCTGTACACGACGTAAATCTCTTGAAGATATAAGAGAAAAAAGCGGTGGGATTTTGTGTTTTTTCTTAGTTTTGCATCTGATGAGTGAAGCGCCCGGATGTGTTCTTGCTGCCCTCGGCTTCTTTACAGTGCTGCCTTGTTGCATATGGATCAAGCAGCATTGTACAGGGCTATGAAGGCACCGAGACTGCTCTTCACGTGGGACGGGAACCGTGTATGCTTGTGAAAGCACTTACTGCCCGACTTATCTCCTATCTGGGTTATTTTTACACTATTTGAAGGAGACTATGCGATTCTGCTTTCTTGTGGTACATATATTTGTCCCTTTTACTTTTATAAATATCAAGTACTTTTAACTGAATGGAGAATTTGCTTTTTGAAGGAACCCTTCATCTGTACATTCATTCCGGTACTTGTGAATAAGCATTTACGTAGTGCCATGTGCCAGGCATTGTTCTAGGCACTTGGGACACATTTGTGAAGAAAATAGTGGTCTCTGACTATGACATCCATTCTGGTGATGTAGTAAATAACTAAATTATTTACTTTGTGTTAGTGAAAAGTGCTCTTTTTCAAAAAGAAAATCAAACAGGACAAGGAGAACTGAGGATAGACCAGACCAGAGCGTGGCAGAGGGCTGACTGTTGTGTAACTGGGTGGTCGAGGGGGCTTTATTGAAAATGTGACCTTTGAGCAAGGATTTGATGGACGTGAAAGAATCATACCTGTAGATATTTGGGTGGGGGGAGGCTCCATCAGAGAGAACAAAACCCAAATTAATCCTCTGAATTACTGTTTAAATCCACAATTTTGTCTCTTCAGTTTCTTACTAACAGTGTGGTTAGGTTGGTGGAAAGAGTCACTAGCATACATTTTAACATTGGCTTTAGGAATATTTCACTTTTGAGACCTTTTTTCTTAGCCCTGTCGGTCTAGATTTTCACTGGCCAATTGTCTTAACAGCAATGAAAGCCATAGTCTACACTGTCCAAATTTCAGTGTGGAGATACGTATTCTCAAAAAATCAGTACACTCTTAAGATTAGAAATAGGTATTCTGGAGAATGCCAGTTCCTCCATCTAAGATTTTCCTTCAGTCTTTTCAACGTTTCTCCAGATTATTATGTTAAATGGATTATTTCTTCACCGTTTTCAAAAACAAGTCTCATCTGTAATCACTTACTAGGGTCTTTTCCAGAACTCTTCTTTTAAAATTAGACTTTATTTGGGGGGGGAGAGGGAGAGGTGGAAGAAAGTAACAGGGAGGATAAATGGTAATAGAAAAAATATAGTTAAAATACACTTAACTTTTTAGAGCAGTTTTAGAGTCACAGCAAAAATGAGTGGAAAGCCCAGAGACTTCCCATTCCCCCGCCTCACGTGCGCACAGCCGCCTCTGCTGCCGCCCAGCTCCACGCTGTACACCCGTCACAACCCATGGACCTGCTCTGACACATCATTACCACCCAAAGTCCATAGTTTACATTTGGCTTCGCTCTGGGTGTACACATTCTATGGGTTTTGATAAACGTGTAGTAACATATCCAGAACTAATTTCTAAAAAATATACAGGATTATGGGCATATATACCAGGAATGTAGCAAGCCCTGATGAAATGATTCCTGTTTGCATTTTTAAGTAGAGATTTTGTAAACCCTTTCAAATTGTAAAATTGAGTCAGAATTCTTTCTTGAAGTCATTTTCTTTGTTTTTTCTTTTAGAAAATAAACAGAGTTGTCTTCGTTGGAAACTTTTTACGAGTCAATACTCTCTCAATGAAGCTTTTGGCATATGCACTGGATTATTGGTCAAAAGGTCAACTGAAAGCATTGTTTCTAGAGCATGAGGTATGACAGCAAAATAATGTCTTGTGAATTTAAATGGCATGCTTTTATATGCAGGTCTCATATGTTGCTTCTTGCTCTGTGTTTACAAGTACACAACTACAATTTACCCAAGTATATTGGTTTCCTCACTTCAGTCTGAATGGGGCGCAGGGGTCACTGTGACCTGGCAGGCACTCCATTAAGATGAGAGCTTCACGGTTCTGAGAGAGCGAGCGATACCAGGTCTGTGAGCTCCTTAAACACTGGGCTGCTTGTGTACTTAGTGGATCATTTGGGGTTTTTTTAAATTTTTTTAATTTTTTTTTTCTTCCCTGGAGTAACAAATGTTAAATGTGGACAACACAAAACTGTATGATTTAGCAATGAAAATTCTTAATCTCCCCACTGCAGCCTCACCCTCCACTGCCAGAGGTAATTGCTGTTAACATTTTGGAGCTTATTGTTCTAGATTATTTTTCATATTTGTTCACTACAGATAGTTAGGTTCCAATCAGAGCAAATACCAGGCCACATAATGTTTTAGATTAAGTAAATATTTCCTTTGAATTATTTTGTTTCCGGGCAGTCAGATGGATATGAGCTTTAATGATAGGGACTCAGAATACGTGTCCTCTTCAGAGCTCTGTGTCTCATTGTCACCCCTCGCCCTGTGCCAGTGAGAATGGTAGGCTCTCGGGCAGCTCCACTCGGCACAGGACACACAGAGAGAGTGGCAGGCAGAGCCCAGGGACCTCGCTGAGGACGGGCACAGGACTGCGGTAATAGCCCTAGAAACTTTCAGATCGAAAAGCCACACTTGAAACATATGTATTCCAAAGGTGTACATATTGAGAATACAGTTTAAAGATTTTTAAAATTTATTTTTAGAGGGAAGAGGTCAGAGAGAGAAACATCGATGTGTGAGAAACAGCAGTCGGTTGCCTCTCAAATGCCCCCAGCCCAGAACCTGGCCAGGAACCCGGGCATGTGCCCTGACCAGAATCCGACTGGCCCCGCTTTGGTTCGCAGGCTGGTACTCAGTCCACTGAGCCACACCAGCCAAGGCTTAAACATTTTTATAGTAATAGCTGACAAAACAGAAATAGGTAGATTTCTGAATAGATGTTCTTATATAGATATTATAAATATATGTTCTTAATAGTGGTTAATACTGTATGCAAATTTAAAAGTGGTGCTACATTAACAATTGTTTTAAAATTATCCAGGGATACTTTGGAGCCGTTGGTGCACTTCTTGGGCTGCCAAATTTCAGCTAAAGCCTCAGGTTTCTCTCTGCCAATGTCATCCAGGAGGAACTGAAAACCAGAGGCATTTTACCGTGTTGTCACTGGGAACCAAAGGATGAAAGAGTAGCACGATTTGTGTTAGTTTTTAAATGTCAAAACAGTAAGCTGCTAAATGTTGCCATATTATAGCGAGAACTCGGTAACAGGTGGAAGTGTTTCCAACTGAAATGCTTTCCCTTCTGTATATAGCCAGTGTTAAATCCTTAAATGCAATACAGCCTCTGATTATTGAGCTTTCTCTCAAAAAGATTTTCTATTTTATGTAGCCAACATTGCAGTACTGTACGCTCAAACACAGATCTTTAAAGTCTCTGAAATGTTTAGCTCATGAAAATAATTCTGAGTATTTGTTACGAGTCTGTTCTGTATGTTTTGGTTACTGGTAAGCAGACGGTAACATACCCTGTATCAAAATCAATTGAAATGGCAATCAAAGATGATCGTTTTTATGTGATTTTAGAAATGTGAAGGGAATATTAATTATGCAAATATTAATTATGCATTATTGTAGTTTTCCTAACATATCCCTCCCCAAAAGCATGTTTATGTGATCTTTCCCCAGAAGTACCACCTTTTTCAAATGCCATAGTATAATTGAAATACTGTTCTTAAATAGTAGTCTGAATTTCAGACAAATCCTAGAAAATGCACCTATTTGGTCACATTGCACTTCCTGTATTTTACTAATCAGTACATTTTTAAATGCTTAATATTTTTAATTGGAGGCTTACTTCCTTATTTGAAAGTCTGATGAGGCTGGCTGACTATTCTAATAGAGAGTTGGTTTGCATGCTTTGGGAGAGTTCTTTCTATACCACATTTTATCTCAGGCCCAAACTCAGTCCTTTCTGTTTAATTAGGTCTGAACCTTCAAAGCTAAAGGCTTAATTCTATTATGAACAGCAACAAAATCACAGTTATTTTAAATGGATGTTACGCAAATCTAAAAGAATTGTTTTGAAACTCGGGAATTCTGAGGCAGTACTGCAGAATTACGAAAGAATCAGTGTTTTGTACATCTTGGTAATGAAAGAATTATAGTTCCAAAATTTATAAATCTCTTTGCCTTAGAATTTGTTCTCTATTTTGAATTATTTTTTTATACTGTTAAAAATTTTTCCAGATGTTCACTTTGTTAGTAACATTTTGGAGTCCAGCAGTGCAGCAAAGTTGTGAGAATATTTCTCATGGTTTATGAGGTAGAGAGACTTGGGAAAACTATTCAGTTCCTTAAATCACTTCCAGTAAATCAGAATGTGCTTTGAAGAGCTTAAAAATTGTTTACATTACAGGAAGAAGTATTCCAGTGTGTTTTTACAGAATACAGTTTGGCTCCATAGAGAACAGTGTTTAGTACACTGTCAAGAGGTGCTTGATAAAAACATTTCTCCTCAGTGTTTTCAAAATTTATGCTCAAACACTTAAAATTTAGTTTTCTCTGTCTAAAAACATTAACATGAATAATTGGGGTGAAGATGTAGAGGGGAAAGTATGTCAAGATAATTTTTTTAGAATTTAGAATATTTAGAACTTTAAATTCACGTCAATCAGTAGTCATTTTGAAAACCTACGACTAAATGTTTCTCTAATGTTTCCATTGTAGTGATTAGATAATTTCAGCAGAAAGTTACCTCTTCAGTTTATTTTCAAATTTTGTGATTTGAGCATCTCTACAAAAGTTTTTCTTTTTAAATGATCGTAAGTTCAAGCTGTATTCCTGTGGCACACTGTGCATCACATTAGCAGCTGTCGGTGGGGGCAGTCTTTAAGAAGGAGGTGGAACGATCAGAATCTGTGTAAGTTCACTTCATCACTGCGTTGTTTAATTTGGGGCTGTGGTTCAGACTTCTTGTCCTTAAGAGCTGCAGTTCCTGCTAACATGCCTGCAAAGGGGGTGCCATCTCAGGCAGCACTCTTGCACTTGGCTTTTCTCAGGTATAATCAAGAATCATGATGAAGGCTGCCAGGAGTCCAGTTTTTTATTAGGATCACAAGAAATTCCCTGAGAGAATATGGTGGTAAATAGGTTTGGTTCTAGTCCCAATCAATATAATGCTTCAAAGTTCTGTTCTTGAGAAGTGCTAATAGTGAGCCACGTGGAATTTTACATTTTCTCGTAGGCACATTTAAAACTAAAGAGACAGGCGAAATCCATTTTCATTATATATTTCTATTTAATTCCGTATATTCAATATGTTATTTCAAAACGTAATCAATATTCAGAATCATCTAGGAGATAATTTTTTATTTTTTTATTTTATTTCTTTTTTTTTGTATTTAGTCTTCAAAACCAGTTTGTACTTTAATACAGCGCATCTCAGCTGAGCCTAACCACGTCAGGTTCTCCGGAGCCAGGTTTGGGTGGGGGCTCCTGGGTTAGTGCCATTGTAGGACTAGCTCTTAAAAATGAATGCCACCATGGGTCCATTAAAACTTCACGAAGATGGGCTTTTAAAAGACTTGTTTGAGGGGGGAAATATGGAAACTTTACCTTTTAAAAAGAGAAGGGGAGTTTGGGCTGGTTTATTTTACACAGACAAGCTGTATTTCTGACCATCCCAAAAATCCTTACGTTGCGTCCTGCGGGCATTGTGGCACGTCTCGGTTTTCCCAGTGACAGTGACAGAGCTGCCTGAGACGCGTTCTGACCGCCCTCAGCAGTCTCCGAAGTGCACATTCCCCTCACTGGAGCAAACTGGATGATGCCAGTGACTGAAATTTCCCCCTACTTTATCTAATTTAATTTTGAGAAGCCAATTTTAAAGGATTAAAAAGAGGCCCTATTAATTCTTTATTGAATTATGTACACACAAGAGAATCTTTAATTTTTGGATTTAATTTTCATTCTTAAGAACTCCTGATAACATTTTTCAAATGTAGGGAGTACTATCAATTTGTTTTGAGGCTTAGTGAAGAACACAAGGCCTAGAACTTTCCACGTCACCATCCCCCCCTACCCCCACAAAAAGATCGCCTTTTAACTGGAAACCTTTAGAACTGATGGCTTTCAGTTCTAGACCCCAAGCTCTCCAAAGACAAAGTATTATTACATCAGTAGACTTGCCTGCCTGTCGACACGGGCAGTCCCTTGCTCAGATACCCTAATTTAAATACAGGGATTCTTAGTTAAGGAGAAGTCCACGCTGTTGCCAATATTATATGTGGTAACTGATAGTCCTTCAAGAAGTTCAGAATATTTGCCAAATATCATACTCCGTAAAGGTTCCTGGGTTTTTTGCCTTTGCGTGCAAATGTGATTGCTGTGTTGTAAGTCCTGGTTTCTGAAAGCCCCGTTTCTGTGAGGGAGGGATGCAGCCGGGAGGAAGAGCCGCTCCTCTGTGCGGCTGGGCCCTGGCCTTTGAGAGCATCCATCGCGCCTGCCTTGATTTCTAAGGCTGCGTCCTTGGGTGGAAAGCGGGGAAGGCAAGAGCTTCCAAATGTCTTTTGTAACCACTGTTTGTTGTATAGGAAAATTGTCATATTTTGTTCAGTGTATCCATTTGGGGTGGGGGGCTTGAGTGCTTAATGCTCTTCAGTCTATTATTACATTTGAGAATGTAGTTTAAGAATTCTCCTGTAAAGCCATGTTAAGACTGAAAGAATAACCACCAGAAAGATGTGTGCATTGGTTTTCATTTCATTTACTGTTTTGTGGTATGTATAAACAAAGTACTAGAAATACATTGCCTTTTGGAATAATACTCTTTGACCTGTTGAAGATGATTTGCCATGAAGTGTCAATGATGTCCTGTTACCCAGTAAGTTGGTTTAATGTGTTTTATTGTAATACTGAAGGAATTTGGCCAACTTTGTTTCTGTCATCAGATAATCTCACAAAATAATGTGCTTTAATACTACCACCTGTTTTCAGTATTTTAGGCAGTAGTTGTCTTATATTTTCTTACTGAGCCTGGTAATCAGCAAAGACCCAAATAAGTGTTTTAATAGCCTATCTTTAAAAATTGTGTTGTGGAAAGTAACTCATCCAGCTTTTCAGACAGACCTAAATTCTGAGTAATTTCCACTTTCAAAAGTTCAAATGTCTTAGGAGCCCCTGTTGCTTGTGTTACCTCTTCCTTGTGTTCAGTGGATGTGGGGTCGCAACTGGTATTGTACTAGAAATAGCACCCATCACTGGTCTAACTTTGTTAAATGTTATTTCCTTTACTTGTAAAGTGAGAACATTGATTTGTTACAAGGGGATCACCAGCTGTCAGGTCCCTGGGAAAGACAGTTACTTGCTTCGATTGTGGCAGCGACCAAAACAGTCTGTTCAGATCATTGGCACCATGTCCTGGAATTTATTTCATTTGTGTACATCGACTGGTACTAGATTTTGAATTCCCACCAGACCAATAGAATGGTGTTAGTTATTTCTCATCGTGTTAAGTTATTGCCTGTGATAGCCAAGTAGATTATACCTTAAAGTAATATGAAGGGATACATATGTATATATATATTAAAGTGTGTGCGCGCACTTTAATCAGTAAAAGTATCTGGAATTTTTGTTGTGTTAACATCAAAACTATATGGGCATTATTCTAACTATTTACATTCTGGCTGTTTCCGTTGTCAAAGGTTATTTTTCTTACACGTTTTCAGTCCTTTTGCCGCAGCTGCCACTAATTTCTTATTTAGAATTAATGAGGAGTGTATTTTTCAAAGGAATAAGTGAAGTTAAAAACCAAGATTTTGAATTATATGAGTATGCAACTAAATTTCAGTTCTAAGATAGTGCTTTTTTTTTTTTTGCTGTTAACATCTTTTATACATTGCAGTGCTTATAGTTCAGTAGCTTTTCAAAGGAAGCATCAGCTTTCACATAATTTGTAAAGTATAAGTAAATACTACAAAGACTTTCAGATTATTTTAGCCTTACATCCTGTGTCTGCCCCATATGGATGTTTTACCTTGTCAATAAAACATCCAGTAGTTGTCACAGATATTAAGCCATTTTAAAATTTGCCACTTTTTTTTTTTTTGAGGTACCCTTTTTAGTTTACAACATTTAGAATGAAAGGTAACTTTATACACCTGACATCAGTTTACTAGTCTCCTTGTCCAAATGTAATGAATGGAATTAGATGTTAAGTTATGTTAAGATGGTTTCATCATTTTTATACATTCTGTGTTTTCACTTTTTTTTTACCTTTTAACTTAAGTTCATTTGTCTTAATTCTGCCCAGTTACTGACCAAATCACACATAGATGTTTGTATGTGTTAAGTTTACTTCTGCAAGCCACTTCAGTTTCAGTTGCCTTATTCTGTCGCATCGTCCTTGTCAAGTCTAAGCTTTGTCATATTGGAATTCTGACACTGAATCTGTGATGTAAAAATGTACGATGTATAACAAACTAAGTTATAGCCTATTGTAACCTATAAAACATTTCATGTAAATTGTCTAATTTATTTTTTCATTTATGTACAGTTTCTTATGTAAATTTTTAAAATATTTGTTGTAGCCTGTTCTGGGAATATCTCATACTCTTCCTTAATGCTTCTTTGCATGAAAGAAACTTGGGTTTTGCTGGTTTGCATTGTATGGCCTTTGAGCCAACTTCACTACTCTCTGCCTTTTTTCTGTAGTTTAACTTTTTCTAGTTTTGTTCATATTCTAAATAAATGTTAAAGTCATGCTTATTTCCTACTTTCCAAATAAATTCTCTAAGTTGTTTACTCTGTGTATCTTTTTATTATTTCTTTATTTTGTATATTGTACTCCCACATTTCCATTCTGATTTCACATAAGGTTTAACTGAAATTAGCTATGGTGGAATGGAACCTGAGGGCACGGACTTGGTACAGGCTGTTCACCTCTCTGTCCCCTGGCCTGGGCACAGAGAAGACGTTCAGTAAATAAATGTATGTGGAGTGAATGAACCATAAAGAAAGGGTTCTCTCGCACCTCTGCCTATGTGAGATACAATGATAGCTGTTCACCACCTTCCTCTCCACAACATTAGAAAGCACAAATATTAGTTCTTCAGAGATGCAGGCCTTGAAATTTAAGACGCACGCTTATTAATGTGAAAAGCTCTGCTTTTCCACAGATGGCCAAGTCGCCTCACGCCCGAAATGGACTGCAGAGCACATTGTGTTCCTCGAGCTCCCAGCTGAGCCCCACAGACGTGCCGGACCTCTGGTGGCCCTCGGACCACACGTTCCTCTAAACCAAAGCTTCATGTATTTATTTTTAATGGGCAATGCCTGTTAAATGTATGTAAAAAGAAAGACTGATGATCTTAATATGTGAGAAATTAAGTTGGAAAATGACTTACACAATTGTCTAGACTCCAGGCATCTAGGAATGATTGAAAACATGAAGACGTCATGCAAAGTATATACCCTTCCTGTTTTTGCTTGTTTTTTTAAAATTAGGTATTTTAAATACTAACTAGTAAGAACTAGGATGAAGAAAAGTGTACTAGGGGATAAAATGGTGAATTTGGCCTGAAAACATGAGATTGGAGGTGTGAGTACAGAAGCAATTGGAAATAAGCTATGAAGAAGAGTAAAAAGCAGGTCAGGGCTACAAAATAAACTTGCTCAAGGAGGGAAAGGGGGCTGTACTGGATTCTGTACCCAGAGCTATGTACTTTCTGAAAGCTCTTAGTGTTTCAGCTTCTCAAGTCTACTGATCACTTCCTATGTTAAAAGCTTTATTAATTCCTATTTTAAGATGCTTC